AAAACAGTGTCTAAACGTTTCATCTTCTTCTTTTTTAAGCAGTTAATATATTTGGGTTCTGACTGTGTTGTCACGACTGATTTTATTTACCGGGTAATTTTGTCACACAAAATGATGCTACAGATGGAGCTGTAAGTTTTGTTACTTTATTTAAACGGTTACGCTTTGCTATAAAACTGTCAGCACTATTAATCTGGGACGGAGCTATTGGCTGATGATCTACCTTTGATTTGCAAAGCTGCCTACGATCTCATGTTGCTTATGTAAAGTGGCTGACCTCCCGTGAATCTTGGAAGATAATTTTATGCCTGTGTTTTTCTCATCATATAAAACAAGAAAATATTTAGTGCAGATCGGCTCATGACAATGATGCTATGACCTGGAAAATTTATCTTTGCTGTGGGAATATAGAGACCCATTGTGATCAGCAAAACTGAGCAATAAATCTATTTTGAACAGGTAAGCTCTTAGATACGTTTAGGAATAACTAAGGAATTTGGTTGCCATGGCACTGACAAAGCCCATCAGCAGTTGAACAGTAATAATGACCAATCAATTCTGATAAGCTGACAACCATGTGTGTGTGTGCAAATAGTAAAAAAAGAGTGGCTGAACAAGACTTAATACACCGCACTGACTGTTAAGTTTCAGTTTATTCGTCCTTTACGTGACGCACCAAAGACTTAATACTCACTATCATAACAAACATATCGTGGACACCGTTGTTTTCACTTGAGCTTTTACTCTCCTGTTTGAAGCTATTTTTATTGAACTGATGCCACATGGCACATTAACCCTCGAGGTCAGGTCTGATGTGCAAACCAAGTCCAGCTATAATAACTCCTCTGACCTCATGCTTTGCAAAATAGATCAGAGCCTGAGAACCGGGGTAACAGCTCACCTCTGGGAGACACTTCTGGTACTGATATTGATGCCTGACAGATGATAATTCAAAGGAATTATTTCAGTGAATATGATGGTTATACACCTAATTGTTAATATTTGAAACAAATGTTGAAAGAAAAATCCAAATTTAGGGTCTTTATAGCCTGTTTGACTGTCTTAGGCTAGCCAGTGTACAGCTATGCCTGCAGCTTTGTGGGAACCTACAGCAGCACAGCATGTGCAATGTTTCAGTATGAAACAGTACATCCTGCTCCTGTTATTTCCATTTCCATCTATATTAAAAAGGAAATAATCTTCAGAAAAGGTAAAGGGGTAATAATGGATTTGAAGTGTCTAAAAATGTAAATTCTGGTTGGCGTTTTTTGTTTTGGATTTTGAAAATTAAAAACAAAATCAGAGAATCGAAAAAGACCAAGTACTTTGAGTTTTCTGTTGTATCTTTCATCACTACACTGATTTACACAAGTCTTAGGGAAAAGCTCGAGTCCCGCTGGCTGTGTTGTTGTCAGAGCCGTGTTTTGAGGGAAAATGCTAACATGCTGATATTAGGCAGATAACATGTTTCCCATGCATTTTGTTTGTTCAGTATTAAACAAAAGAAGGTGACGGCTGACATTTATTTGACTAATACTTTTGTTACTAATTTGATACTGATACTGAAAATATACATGCAAACTAAGCAAACAACAATGAGAGCATACTTTCTGTAATGTCTCCATTTGTTTTCTTTTTTAGTCCATGTTCTAAAATGCTGTTGGAAGAAGTGAATAAATGTAACCATTTACATGCTCACTACTATTATTAGCATTAATATTATAACGTGTGTTAAATTCACCATGAAGAGTAAGAAGAGTTTCTGAATCAAAAGCAATGGCCTTCAGAAGCTATCAGGTGAAACACCTATCAACTGAACCAACACATTAGACAGAGCTCTTGACTTTTTCTGTAAATTCCTTAATGTTTGCATGGTATTTTCCTTTTAATAGGCTGGTTGTACTAGTATGTTAGGATTAACATGTGATATGGTGTTGAGGTTCTTTAATTTGTGTGATTTTATGCTCTGTGAAACAGATTTTCCCATGGGGACTTTGGAGTATATCTCATCATATTCCGCTTTCTATGTTGTTGCACAGGACAGGTAGATTGAAGATGCACTGGGAGTCAATGATGGCCAACCCCAGGTGTTTCAATTTACATGATGTTGGCGTAGTGGTTTGTGCGCGCCCCATGTGCAGAGGCTGTGGTCGTCGGGCGGGCGGCAAGAATTCCAGTTTGACCTGTAGCTCCTTTCCCAAATGTCGTACCCGGCTTGCTCTCTCTCTTAAATTCAGACTCTATCAATCCCTGTCATAAAATGAAGGCACAAAAAGCCCAAAAATTAAATCTAGAAAAAAAATGACATCATGTTGTTTATTTCTTTTAATTTGTCGCCTATCTGGGCTCATATAGTTCCCTGTAGACTATGATGTTTTCAATCGTCCTTTCTGCCTGACAAATTACCATTAAAGAATGTCATGCCTGTTAGCATGCACTACAGTCTATAAATCACTGCCTCATCTTTCCCCAATACATCAAAAGGCTACATCATGGGTACAATGGCCTTTGGTCGCTCTGTGTACAGCGAAGATAACATGATATCGACTCGGAGTGGAATGAACACTTTGCTCGAGCTGCTGAAAGGGCTAATAGATTAGGGGCCCCTAGACAAGCCCCCTGTCAATCCCTCCTTCTGAGTGACCTAATGTACCCAGAACAGCTGTGTGAGGGCGCTTAGCAGTTAGGCCAGGATGACAAGTCATTGCTCAGCTTGATCGATGAACGATTACATGAGAAACAGCATAGTTTGTTGAAGGGTATGATGGCAATGCACAAGTTACATTGTGTCCTTATTACATCTTTTTTTAGGTTTATGCTTTCTTGAAGGGCAGTTGTGAAATCTTTTGATAACATCTTTTTTCCATTGCCCTGCACTGGCAGATACATGATAACTCAGGAAGCCTTTTTTTTTTTAAAGAAGGGCATTACAAAAATGGTATTGTAATTCAATTTAATTTCGAACAACAAAGTGTTATGGATGCTGCAGTTATTAATATTTCCACTTGCTTCACTAATCCTCCTTACAGCAGGTGCAAGATAATTCTCAGTTTGTATCCCTTTAGACCAAAGTTCAGCCTTTGAATAAAGTAAATCATTATATTTTTATTAGTTGCCTTTAAAGTTTGTTAAAACTCTATCTTAAAACAAAGCAGATGGATTAACTCTTACTGTACATGTACTATACATGTATATGGTAAATGGACTTGAGCTAGTATTGTGCTTTTCTAGTCTTCTGACTACTCAAAGCGCTTTTAAACCGCAGGTCACACCTACACATTCACACACTGATGGCAGAGGTTTCTAAGTAAAGAGTCCATCAGTATTTACTAATCAATTCATACACATGCCGCAGTCAAAGCAGCAGGAGCAACTTGAGGTAAAGTGTCTTGCCAAAGGACACATCAGACATGTTGCTGCAGGAGCTGGGGATCGAACCCCCCAACTTTCCGGTTGAGAGACGACGACTCTACCACTGATCCTAAGCCACCCCAAGTAGGTCCTGCTCAGGAGGCTAAATGACACAGTTATACTCCACTGTGGGTTACAACAGGGCCATTTAGCCCCCTTCCCTTTTCCCTTTACTGGCATATACAGTACTTGGTTCTTTAATCGGTTGAGTTTCTTTTTAATAACTATGCTTACAACACAGTTACATTTGCCTTAACTCTCAGAAAACGATTTAAGGACATGAAAATAAAAAAACATTATTCAGATAAATTAAAGAGAAATGTGATGTTGCTCTATGGCAAGGAAACACCAGATAACTGATTTTACAGATGCTAGGCGACTTCATGTTTAAAAGGTGGTCAAAGAGAAACAAGTCATTTTGAAAGTACACTGAACTTAGGTTAGCAGGTACAGTGTTACAGTTTTTTTCTCATACTGGAATTTAACAGAAATCAAGTGGTTTATGAATCATGACGATATTGAGCGGGTGATTCTACAATTCATTTGGCAGACACTTTGATCAAAAGCGACAGATATCAGAGAGTAAATACAACACAACCAAGGATCTAAGGAGGAAACAATGTCAGTAAGAGACACAGGAGCTGACGGACAGTGCACAGAGGCAAAACACAACACCGACAGCTGTTTTGTGAGTTCTAATCAGCATCAATACATCATCCTAAAATCATGATTAATGCCCTTATTTCATTTGACACTACTGCATCTATATTTCTACCTCGTTGCTATACCTCAGTTGTTAGGGCACCAAGACTGAAGAGCAGCCTGGCAAAGAAATTCTATCAGTTTCAGCTTTTATAGCCCTTCTGAAGAACACTGTGTGATAAAGAGATTTTATTACTCTACTATCCGTTATATATACTGTATAAGCAACCACCTGTCTGTGTAGCTTTTTAAAATATGTTAATGATGTGTTCTAGTTGTAATTGTCTGTTTTTAGTTTTTTAATTGTTGTATTGCTGTCTGTGTAGGTTTTCAGTCATCCAGATCATGGTCAAGACAACTGGACTGGTTGAAGATCTTGAAGACGTTTCAACTCTCTGTAAGGCTTCTTCAGTTCTAAACTAACTGGTGGAAGTAGCTAGAACTAGGACAGAGTTGTATTGTTGGTTTTAAACTAAGTATTTGGTACATTGATTTTCTAAAAAAATGCTACACAAATATTATCTTTATCCTAATTCTTATTTTTACTATTATTATTATCATCTTCATCATCCTCAGGCGGACTGGCACTCAGGGCACGGATAGCAACACAAATGAGACAAAAGTGTAGAGATATGCAATTTTATTTAGAAAGGTTCTGCAGTCCATGTAATGAACACTGAGCAAAGCAGTACAATGCAGGTTCTTGTAGATAACAGAGGAATGATTACTGTAATGATTGTAATCTTAGAACGTATGGACACACATGAAAGTTCATTTACAATGGGATGCATGTACACAAAATGAGTCGACATATCCATAGAAACCAAGGGGAAAATGTTAACTTATTCGAAGTAGGTTAGACACGTTGTGAAACATAAATTGCAGCTTTGCAGCCCAGTTGTATAGCGTTTTTTAGAAGCCAGTATCCGGGTATCTAAATCAAAAGGGAAAAAAGCAAACATAGTTTAAATTGGAGTACATTGAATGGCATTCATAAAAACTGAAAAAAGAAACAATGAATAAAAAAACAAAAAAGTTAACCACATAAGCTTGTGTTTTGCATTTATTGAAGTCGATTTAAAGGATAAATATGTAATATATCTACAGAATGAAATCACAAAATGACCTTACTACATCATCAGACATTAAGGAAACATGCAATGTTGAAGTGCTGGCTTCTCTGACAACAACGCCACAGTCAGTATGTCCTCCTAAGTTTTGATTTGGGTCTGGAATGGTTTGTTTTTGTTTTGACTACAGAAGTAGGTGGCCACCCCTCACAGCTGTTTTGCCCCTCGCCCTTGGATTGCCAGGCAAACGGCAAACCAACAGATGTTGCAATGATGAAAGCGGGCAAGCGAACTAGTTCAGAAATAACTGGTTCTACCTGACCTAAAAAAGCCTCTGCATTTTTCTAATAAGCTCCATGACCAGAAACGTGGTAAAATGAGGATAAATATTGGAGATGCTTTTGAAAAAGAGAGAAAGGTTTCAAGACTGATGCACAGCCGATTAAACAAGTAAGCATCTGTGTCAGCAACATGGCAACCTGGGTGCATATCGACTCTAAATGTTTTGAATTTGGACTGCAGTACCAATTTGAAACACTAGGTGTCAGAGTTACACATTTTTCCTTAAACTGAGCACTTGGAACAGATTGTAGTGAAATTAGAAAGAGAGTTTGTGATGACACCTAATAGATACCAGTGAGCTAAATCTAGATCACCACCAAAAGGTAAAACATCAAGCACAGAGATCAAAGTTATTATTAACAAACCAAGTTTCAGATTAAGATTATAAAATATACTTACTGATTCTGCATCGTGTTCCAATCCTGTATCATGATGTTCCATCTCATCATCTCTGAATTCCTTTATTACCTATTGAAATATATCAGAGGATGATTTATTAGAATCAACATTTCGTTCAGGTGTTTGTAACACTGAAATCATTTCAACAAAGCCCACATACTGTTTTTGATTCTTTAAAATTGATGAATACACACTTTGATTGACCCTCTTTTCAGAGTATCTATCCTGAAAAAGTTGAAACTGCCATTTCTTCACAATGAACTTTGTTTGTAATAAGGACAGTCATTTATTTATTAGCCATTTGACCTCTGTCCCTTATCCTTTAAGAGCACCGGATTTCTCAACATTTTTTGACCCAGCACTCGCTTCAACCTTTTTTATACAAATGATTGTGTTTCCAAATGATTCAATGTCTCCAAACAAAGAAAGATACAAACTGAACTGTAATATAGCCCAATGACAAATGTTTACCTAGATAGGTAAGGCCATTTCTACCTGTGGTAACATATACATAGATATGTTATTAAATTGTAAGTAAAATTAGTAGATAAAAAAACAGTATATTTACTGTTTGATAAAATGGGACAATTCTTATATCTTAGATGCATTGAGATTGCACACATTGAGATCTAATTTGTGCGGCCTCATTCAGAGTTGGTCTAGGATGCATATTGATGCTTTCTTTCTGCAGAGCGTGTGCAAAGTTTCTTGGACTCCCTAGTCTCCATCTCCAGGGAAAAAATGACGTTGAGTGACAGTTCACCCTCATTATCTCATGATTTAAAATCTAACCGCTTGAGTAAGTTTGAGTTTTTTATTCCTCATGTCATTACAAGCATGTAAAAACAAAGTCTATGTATCAAAGAGATCTATGTACGAAAATTTCAAACAAACCCTGCCCTATATTAATTCAGTGAAGGACAACAAATATTTTTTATTTTTCAATTTGGATGATCCTGTTTGTGGAGGACAGAAGAGTTCCTGACAGCATGTGGAAACCGGATGTTTACTAGAAGTTGATCATGCTTTATAATAACGCAACGGAAAGGAAAAAGTAATTTCATTAAGGTGACGAGCTTAAATAACATTGATCTTTGAGTCTGCTTTTCATTGTTAATAGACACTGCAGTGAAGATCATACAGTTCACGGATAATCTGAATAGCTATAGAATAAAAAATGACCTTTTTTCATGTTTTATATGATGTTATTCTATCAAGTCAACACTAACTGTATATCCAGCTTGTTGACATCAGCCCATGTCTTACTCATTATCGCGGCTGCAAGTCTTCATCACTGTTTCATAATCAGTTCATGCTCATTGTAAGAAAGGTGATGTATTGTAGGTGGGCTACATAAATGTTTGGATGTAAAGAAGGAAAGTGACATTTGATAAGTTGTGGTCACTAGACACAACTGGAGATGCACTCCAATGCCAGATGTGAGCAGACACACTGGCTTCTTTTTGATGTAACCTCATATTTTTTTCTGTACTAAAACAATATGTGGACTCAGCCTGGAGAACAATGCCATTCTTCAGGTACTCTGTTTGCATAAACAATGCGTCCTTCCAAAATGTGTATTCACACAGACACATGCACACACATAGTAGAATACCTGATAGCGCTATCTTTCTTGAAACCTTACCTTTAAATGAGAACGTCTCGCTCTCTTTCTAATATTTAATTGCTCTCCTGCACAACATAATTGTTCTGCACATATTCATTGTATAGTTCAGACACTTTTTTGTTTCTGTGCAACACTAAACAACAATTCATATATCCACAATAACACACACCACAGAGAACAGTGTGAGTGATAAGAGTTATATAGAATACGGTGGAGGACTCACCTGTAACAGTTCGGTGTATCTCTCAGGGTCCTTCTCCATCAGAGCTCTTATTTGGCTGTTGTAATGTTCTGAAATACTCTCCTCCACCGCCACAGTGCAGGCCATGGCCCCCTCTTTTCCCAGGAGTGCGCTGGATGCACCTGAGGTAAATTCACAGGCAAAAAAACTAAAATACATCATTTTGAGATGCTATTTTGAGAAAGAATGCCTAACTTAATATAGTTTACAAACTGTTGAAGACTACCTAGGTAGATAGGACTCAGACACAGTAACCTGCTATAACCTCTATAGCAGATGCAGATGCAGAAGTTTTCATCTTATCTTTAAACTTTAAAAATCTGGGGAATTGCTAAAGAGATGTACCAACCTAATACAAACCCAGCAATGTTCCAGAGGGGTAACAGTGCTGTGGGGCGAACTCTGTTCTCAGCCAGAATTTCATTGAATTTCTCAAGATGTTCTTTTCTTGATCCCACATTTCCTGCAAAAAAAAAAAAAAAAAAGACAACAACATGAAGATTGACGTCATAAATCCCACAATTAAACTCATGCCATGTCTTCTGTTGAATCAATAAACTGCAACCAAACATGATACATCGTGTCTGCTGTGTTTGAGCTTGACTGAAGTCCAACACTTGAATAAGTAATATCAGAAAATACTTTTAAAGGATTATACACACATGTCATGTTCTACACCAAAGCAAGGTGTCAAACGTTGACACGTCCCATACCTGAATGAGAGGCCCAGTCCTAGATCGACCCAACACCGCCATCTGACCGGCGTAGATCCGGTTGGCCCCGTATTCACCTGCATGGTCGACCCGCAGCATCCGGTCCAACATCTCCTTCTCCTCACTGTCGCGTGGGGCGGGAGCACACTGTAAGCGCGTGAGCTCAGCTGCAGAGGACCTGAACACAGAATAACAGACCCGTGACAACATTAAACACATGAATAAATGATCTATTTACTCTCCAGGGCAAAAATATGACCACACAGGACGCTCAAGCATCCGCTGTTGTAACCAATAAAAGTAACTCAATTCTTCACTTGGATAG